CTGCAATCCATTGCCTTGGACCTACAGCGGTCAGTCAAAGAGCTTATGATGTCTACAGCTCGTGCTTTTGCGGGACCGGTATGCCGTAACAAATAATTCATAGGTCTTTCTGGAGGCCAAGACAAACTTCCTTTATCAAGTCGGGCCGCTATCAAATGTGCCGACGGGTGGCCGGGTGGACAATCGGTATCCAGTCATCGGCAACGTGGTCGAGTGGTTAAGGCGGCGGCCTGCCAAGGCGTTGGGATGTTCCAGCGTGAGTCCGAACGTCACTCTTGTCGATAGACAAATCACTCATTTTCGGGGACACCGAAAGATTGAAGCACACCATCCTGTGATGTAATGCAAGGGAGACGTCGTCTCCACACAAGGCACAGGAATTCTTAAGAAGAATAATCCACCTCTTTTGGGTGACCGTGTCCTTGCACGCCGGGAAGGCAGGGCTAGGAAGGCTGATTGACTCGTTTGCCATCCATGTCACTAATACCGCATTCGCCGAACGGCAACGATGCTCATTGCTTGGCAGCCGGCGATCCATCGTTCGAGCGACCAGAGCTCCCGGAGTGATCCGGGCGTGTCGTCTTTACAATTCGAGAGACAATCCTTAATACTCGATCCATGGCGGCAGATGCTCCTTTCGTAAAATACGTGAACAACGGTTGACGAGGGTTGATCCTTTGTGGGAATCAGCTCTACCTACTTGGTGAACTGGTCAGTAATGACTAGTATGTACCGCATACCAAGCTTACCCAGCAGGCCACAGAAGTCCAGGGTAACCGTGCCCCAAGGTCTGCTGGGCGGTGTGCCACGCGTGCCAATGAAAAGGAAAAGGGGATGTGGGAATAGATAATTTTTGTGGGATGAACATTGGAGAGGAATGATGATGACTTTGGAACGGATGCAACTCACCCCCTCTACTACCGCCGACCCCCGCCAGACAAGTCTCGGAGTTGTCGCCGTGAGACGCGCGCGACTGATAAGGAGTTACCAATGGAGTTCACCACGTAGACCGTTGATAACGTTGCCGAAACTGGGTGACGTCATTCAGGTTCCCCAAATTGACAGCGTAGCAGTTGGCTGTTTGGTCTTG